AAAGAGTTTTTGAACCCAAAAGCTTGCTTAATAATTATTTTCCAACTATTTGGGTTGGTCTAATAAAAGATATCAGATTCACCCAAGGAACCTTGTCTGCCTAAGTGAATGTGAAAAGCATTTCACGCTCACATTTCACAGACCTGAATGATGACATAATCTGTATGGCAGTGAAAAATCAAGATCTTTGTGTTTATAATGCTTATTTTATAATGTGTGTCCCCCAGCCACCTGCGGAGGGTTCAGGATTGAGAGTATGGTCGGGGGTAGAAAGGTAAGAAAGGTTTATTGACTTAACAAAAACACAACTACGCGTAGTAACAAGACAAACAATGACAGACAAAAGCAATTTGCGTTGGCAACTTATAGGCAGTCCCCTCTGATGCCTGATACACAGCAAGCTTCTCTTTCCACAAAGTTCAGCGAAGTTAGGTGTCCCTGAACGACACTGTCCAAAGGGGTACCGGGAAGGACCCCGGAATGCAGTCCTTGGGCTCCTCGAGGTCTACGGGCCCACTGATCCAGGCAACAGCTAACTAATCCTTTTCACAGAGCTGTATCTCCCTTCTGAATGGTTTCCAAATATTCCAGCTCATTTATAGCTTCTGAATGGTTCTGATAATGTACAACCACTCAGATTCCTTTTACTTCAACTGTCCTTAGACTGACCAATTAGCAGTACAAGCCTTGCATTCCTCTGATAAGGTAATTTTAACTACGCCACAGGGCCTTACTACTTCAAGGCTTTGCTAGATTTACTAGGCCTTACTTTATACAAGGCCTCACTACATCTTAAACTTTAATTAGGCTCTTAGCAACAACATACAGCTTAATATCTAAACAAATATAGAAAAACACTTGATATAATCTTCATAGAGCCTTCAGCAAGCACCTTTATCACACAAACATAATTTCAGCTGTCACACATGTATGAATATATACACAGGGCCAACTACACAGGGCTAAATAAATATATATAGTTGGGGATAGTCCTGCTTTCAGCAGGGGGTTGAATTAAATGACTGCCTGAGGTTCCTTTCAACCCTAACTTTCTATGATTCTATGATATCTCCATGGCATAATTGTAATAGTTGCTACTTATGATATTTGGTATTTTTCATGGAGCCCAGGTTCTGAACTCATGCAATAATAATTCATTTTCATTTATTAAGAAACTTCCATCTTTGTAGTCCAGGTATATGCTCTTAGATGTATGAAACCTTCTCAGAATCTGGGCTAAGAGCAGGAGAATCACATGATTTCACTCCATGTCAGGTAAAGGCACAAGGCTTGACAATCAGATCAGGAAAGGCATTAGAAGTGGGGCTAACTGACACCAAGACAACACTATTTGGGTATCATAATGCTGTTTCTCATGGTCTCCTTATGAACGTATGCACCCTCCTACATATACACATGCAGACATAGACACAGATTTCTTTTACAAAAGCTATCTTAACTTTTGCAGTTATTAAAGTACCAATCTGTGAATGGTTATAAGAAAAGGTATTGTAAATGACATCCACATACATATACCCAGCATCTAGTGAGATGAAGTAGTTAGAATATTTCAGAAAAGCAACTGGTGTGTTTTTGTGGGCTGTTGCGGTGGGTTCAGTGTGGTTTATTACACGTCATTAAAGGTTTCACACACCAGTGTACTTTTGAATAGTTTATTGTTTGTAAGACAAGAAGCCAGGATCATCATGACTAAAGACTTGTCAACACACAAAACCTTATATTTAGGTAGTGAAGGTTGTGACAAACCAACAGAAGCCAAGAAATTAAATATTAAAGATAGCTGTCTGATCTTTATTCAAACATTTTGACTATGGATTTCTCCACTGATGTTAGATGTAGTTAAAATCTACACTGTTTGTCCTGGTCTGATGTCCCTTTTTGAAAACAGATACTGATAAACTGGAGAGGCTTCTGAAAAGAGCATAAAAAAGTTATTCTGGGAAACTTGGCTTGCAGTGAAATAATCAAACACCAGTTTGGTTTATCCAAAAGAAAGATAAAAGGTGATCAAAGTCTACAAGTTTCTAACTGAGGAAGAGCTCTCTGATCACAGTGTTTTTTATTTTAGCAGACAAAGACATAACAAGGCAGAAGTTTGACAAATTCAGAATGGAAATAAAGCACACATTTCTAATGGATACAATCATTAACTTCCTACTAACATGGTGGATTTTCTGTCACAAATGGCTGTGTTACACATTAATTTGAGACAGCTCCTAAAGCTCTTAACCCCTAGATTGTTTACACATTAACACCTGAAACTAGTTTTAAGCAGTTAGGCAGCTTAAAGTTTATGCCACTCCAAGGCAGGTTTATCTCTGATCCGTACCCAGCTTGTGTTCCATTAATGTGTGGCCACTCCTCACAGATGAGCCACCCAAGCTGCAGTCTTGCAACATCCTAGGGTGCAATGTCCCCTTCTCTACCCTCCTATTTTGTGTAACAAACTTTCCACCACCCCCCCCCTCCCACCCAGGGGTGAAGCCCTGTATAAACAGCTTGCAGAGAACATGCCAGCTAGCTAGATTGCAGGCCATGGATAGGTCCAGGCGTGGAGTCTGGGTGGTAGTGGGGGAACAAGGTAGAGGGCCAGATTAAGTTGCTATGAACTGGGACTTGCTTCCCAGGACAGGGGCAGTAGCTTCCCCAAAAGCACCTTCCTTCACTACTCCCACTTCCCAGCCACCCTATGAAGCATAACCAGAACTCCCCCCACAATCCAATCCCAAATCATATTTTATTAAAACACGAGACCTTTAATTTACTTCCTCTTTATTTCTTTTTAATTATTTTAAATTCTTTTTATTTTATCCTTTAGTGGCTGACTTCCTTCATTTCACCACCCTTCCCCCACCCCCATTTCCTTTCTACTTCCCACTTCATTATCTACCCCCATCCCATTAACTCTCTGTCTCCCAGCTTTATGGTTCTGCCCCCACTTGATCCCCTCCCCCCTACCTAAAGCAGAGTTAGAACGCTGTCCTAGCCCACCAGCTCTCTAGTGGCAACTCACAGCTATAGCTCCTAGTCAGGACCTTGTTTGCCAGCCCCTCTATAGGCAAGTTACAGCTGTGAAAGGGGAAATAGTCAGAGAAAGTCTTCAGCCTTAAGGTGCATAGGCGACATCTAGGGTGGCACACAGGGGGGCCATGTGCCCCACCTGAGAGCATTAGTGCCCCCCTCAACAGCGAGTGCTCTGGCTGGTAGGGCCCCCCCGAAATTGGCTCTGCCGGTGGTGGAAGAGCCGGCAGTGGAAGTGCCGGCACTTTCACCACTGCGCTTGGCAACTGGCTGCTGGGGGACCCCACCCCGGTCATGACCTGCTGGTGCCCCCCCGGACTCGGGAGGCACCAGTCGCCCATGTTAAGGTGTGACTGATCCAAACTTGAGCTAGCACTAACACTTGTCAGCATTTGTGCAGCTCAAAGTGCAATGTGTAACAAGGTCCAAACTTCTTAAATCCAGACTAGATATCTTCTTCTGAAAGGTTCTATCTTAAACAGAAGCTATAAGCATAATGCAGGACATTCTGTAGCCTGTATTATATAAGAGGTCAGACCTTAAAATCAATATATCTAAAACCTCCCTTCATGACCTGAACATTTGAGTGTAGAAATGACTGCCAGAAATATTTTATTTTTTCTGTGATACAAAAACCATAGATTTTTCAACACAAATCAGATCCATATTTTTTTCAGATTATTCAAGGAACTTCAGGCAGTTCTGTCCCTGCCTCCTCCTTGCTACACAGTCTATAAATGGATTTTAAAGCAGTCCATTATTATGAAGCAGAATAACATACAGCATACAATTATCCATAAACAAGACCTGTAGCATTGAAATAAAATGGGAATTCACACACTGGAAAAGACTAAAGATTCAGGCCTAATTGAGCAAAGCAAAAAAGTTTGTTGCCTGACTGGAACATCAACAACAACAAAATGACATTTTAAAAGAATGACAACCTTGATCATTCTCTTACAAAAACAAGCGGAGAAAATTTTCATCATGCTAATTTTCCTATCTAGGAATCAATTAGCATCTGTCTCCACGAAAAGCTGCTCATAGTTCCGAAGGACAGCTCCATCTGTCTCTTCCTGTATATGAACACCGCTATAAAGCTGGTTCTGGGGAAAAAAGGGACTTAGTAAATTATGGCAACTGACATTTTTTTTATGATAATACTGTTTACTGAATGAGTTCTATTAGAGTTGTAAGTCCCACAAACACACATAATTATCTCATTTTTGTGTTTGCTAGAATTTTCATCTAGCCACTCAGAACTCCGCTCAGGGTCACTTAAAAGTCACAGAGCTTAATTGCTTTGCTTCTTCAGCTTTTGAATTTCTTCAGCTGCTATCTGATGTCCTTGGGGCCTGTGTCCTGCTGCTTTAACAGGGTGCTTGCAGTAGATGAACTCTTATGTGTCACAGTTACACTGAATAATGATGGGATATTACTTTCCCTGTAAACTTACTTTCTTGTGAAAGCCTTTGAATTTTAACAGGCAAAGCACCTGACAACTTGCAGTCATTACAAGCCAATCATGGCATTACTAGGGCATCAGCAAAAGGAACAATGGATTCACAAAGTTCACACTTAGTTTGGTGAGTAAATATGTATGACAAACTTTTTAATGTATTTATCATGAACCTTTGACCTCCTTGTCTTTCTTCTACCCAGTAGCTTGGGATGACCACTGTACCAGTTAATCACTGGAGAGGAAAAACAGTCACCAACACATTATTTGTCAATCCAAATAGGATCTAGACTTGCTTTATTGAATTCCCAATACATGAGATTAGGTCATTATATTTCCATTTTGCACACAGTGTTGCATGTATACACTTATTTTTGCAACTGACAATTTTTAGTTTCCAAACTAAATGCAGTGGGATGGGTCTAAATGCCTCACAAGCACATTGAGTATACACAAAACACTTTTATACCATCTTCCTGCCTGACTTCTAAATGGCCTGTACTTCATTTGAAAGTAGATGAGCTTGGTTATCTTTTCAGTTCATGAGCTGCATTCAAGTGTGACAGCAAACTTCACACTGGCGTGGCGGCCCTGCATACATATTGCATATCTGTTAAGAAAGTATTTGATCACTTTATGTCATGTCATAATTTGTTCAACTTGTTTTCTGAGGACCAAACAGCCAGATGGTTAATTCCACTTAAAAATGTGTGGGAGGGAAGGCCCCAAGGAACTGTGCTTCTCACGCAGCAGGCTGAGCCGCTGTGCAGAAGTTTGGATTGTTAACCCAGTGAATGTGCCCAAAGATCCTTTTCAGTAACACAAAAACCACAGTTTCTCTATTAGCATATCAGAGGTGGAACTGTGGTGGGAAATGGTTCAAGAAACAAAGGATGTAGCTCCATGTCATTGTCTGACTGGGGCTTACAGAAGCAGAAAAAATGATAATTGGCCATTTGCCATGCAGTGATAGACAGATGTTGACATTTTTTTTCCTGGGGTGATCAAACCCCACCCCTCTGTCCCAAGTCCAGAGGAATGTTTCCTTGTGTGCTGCATGAAGCATTCATATGGGGAGCTTTCAAAGTGAGCTGGTGTAAGTGACAGCATTTGCCATTTACATACAAACAGGTACACCACAGACTGGGAAACTGGCTGAAGAGAAATTACTTTTTTTGGACCCACGTTAACTCATGCTCCAAATAAGATTTTAATTCAGATTTAAAAGGATAGGTTGCACATGTCATTTAAAAGCCAAAGTCCAGATTGCATTCCCTCATGAAGACCCTGTGGGAAGGGGTCAGAAGGGCAGGAAAATGCTACAATTTCATTCACTGATTTCCTTGCCAAGGAGAGATATTTGGGTCTTTGTCGAGGCAGTCTCCTGCAGATCTGAGCTGAAGGAATTCCTTATCTTAATGGAGGCAAGAATTACTAAGTATATACTGCCACTCAGCTGTGCCCTCCTTCTCCCTCAGTGTCACTGTTGTCTGCATCCCCTCCTGATTTGTTCAACAGTAGCCACCAAGGGCTCCAAGGGATACTAAAGGAATAAGCAGCTCCGGGAACAACAGTAAACCCAGCTGGGACATTTATAGACTTGACAAGAAGACCTTTGTGCCACTACCCACTTGCTTCCCAAACTATGCATCAGGACACGCACGTCTTCTGTATTGTCAAAACATATTTTTACCCACCATTAATTTATCCCATTTTCATTTTCTTCACGTTTCAGATTCTTTACATAATACAAGGTCTGAATGGAACTATATTTGGATAGCAGCCGTTTAGCTCAGTTAGAGCCTGGTGCTAATAACACCAAAGTTGCATGTTTAGTGCCTGGTTGGACTAGATGACTTCTTGACATCCCTTCCAGCTTACTTCTCTATGATATCCAGTTGAGTTGCAATTAATGTCTTTCTACACCTATGGATCTTAAAATCTATTGCTTTTTCATAATTCAAAAAACTTTCTACTACCACAGTTGTTATTCAGTAGCCATATTATATTCAATGGCCCTTCCATAGCAGGAGTCTAAGTCATGGTGTCAGGACCTTGAATCAAGAAAGTCTGAGTGTTGCTGATGAAATTTCTCTGGGATACTTGCACTGTTCACAGAATTCAAGTATAACTTAAGCACTAGGGCTGCACAAAATTTCGCCGGCAGTTTTGTTTTGATGTTGTTTCAACTCATTTCAAGCTTGAAACAGCAAAATCAAAATGAAACAGAGCTTCAAAACTGCCTTGAAATGAAACGCGGCAAGTCGAAATGTTTCAAAATTTTCAAAACGTTTCACGTTTCAAAGCTTAAGTTAGGCTTGCCTGCAGGGAAACAGAAACTAAAGTAAGGAGAGGGAGATGGAAGTGGGGGGAAGGAGTGCTCTCATTGACTGTGTAGCTGGTCAGTGACTCTCATCCTTTCCCGAGGTCCCTTTCCATCCCAATGCTCTGGGAGAGGGATGGAAAAACTGCATAAAAGGCAGCATTGTTTGAACTGCCCTGCTTTCTGCCTTGGTATCAGTTGAGTGAGGGTGCACCTTAACACACACAGTGTCACCCACCCATGTCATGAGTGTTGCCTGTCAGCAGATAGAGATGCAGGGCCCCAGAACCTAGACTCCCCCTACACCTATCTCCTTGACAGCTGGCAGGCTTCATGGCTGCAGCAAGGTTCCCTCTAAGGTGCATGTGTGAGTGGCCATGCACAACTAAAAGTCCGTCTGCGCACCAACTTTTCAAGGCCGTACACCGGGAGAGCAGCTGAAGGTAAGCTCCAAGGTGAGGCAGGGGCGGGGGCCTGGCAATGGCTGCAGCAAGGTTCCCTCTAAGGTGCATGTGTGAGTGGCCATGCACAACTAAAAGTCCGTCTGCGCACCAACTTTTCAAGGCCGTACACCGGGAGAGCAGCTGAAGGTAAGCTCCAAGGTGAGGCAGGGGCGGGGGCCTGGCATGGGCTCCGCTGGCTCCGGGGAACTGCTCCACTCCCCCGCATCACCTCGGGGAGTGAGGAGGCACGTGGCATCAGGGCCGGGGAGTGGAGCAGTTCCCTGGAGCTGGTGGAGCCCATGGAGCAGTTCCTCAGAGTCAGCAGAGCCTCACTCAGGGCAGTCAGTGGCCACTCCCCAAGGTGAGGCAAGGCAGGGATGGAGGCTGGGGCTGGGGGCTGGTGCAGGCTCTGTTGGCTCTGGAGAACTGCTCCACAGGCTCTGCCGGCTCTGGGGAAGTGCTCCACTCCCCAGCCCTGATGCCACATGCCTCTTTGCTCCCCGAAGTGATGTGGGGGAGCAGAGCAGTTCCCCAAAGCTGGTGGAGCCTGCACCAGCTCCTGGCCTCTGGCCCTAGCCTCCAGCCCCAGCCTCCAACCCCAACCCCAGCCCCCAGGTCCTGGCTGCCAGCCCCAGCCCCCAGCCTCCAGGCCCCAGCCATCACTGCCTGCCCCAGGTGAGGAGTGAGGAGCTTACCTTCGGTAAGTGTCCCATGCCGCACTGAAAAGGGGAGGCGGGACTGAAGTGGTGCACTCATGGACCGAAGTGGCATGCAGGAAACATTGCTAGCAGGCCTGCAGTTTTCACCCCCCTGTACCCCAAGACAGACACAGTCCTACAAGAACCCATGTCATGAGTTTTGCCTGTCAGCAGCTAGAGGTGCAGGGCCCCAGAACTCCCCCGTACCCATCTCCTTGACAGCTGGCAGGCTTTGTGGCCTCAGCAGGGGCTACCATCCCTGCAGCTTTCACCCTGCTGTGCCTTAACACACACAGTGTCACCCATGTCATGAGTTTTACTTGTCTGCAGCTTGAGGTACAGTTTGCCCCAAACCCCTACCTATACCTATCTCCTTGAAACTTGGCAGGCTTCATTGCCTCAGCAGGGCCTAGCAAGCCTGCAGTTTTGACCCTGCTGTGGCTTAACGCATATGCGTGACATGAGTTTTTTGCTTTCAAGACTTTGAGGTGCAGTTTCCCTGAAACCCCTGCACCTATATCCTTGAAACTTGGTAGGTTTGTTCCCTCAGAAGGGGCTATCATGCCTGCAAGTTTCATCCAAATCAGGCCAGAAATGACAAAGTTATAGGCTGTTTCCTGCTTTCCCATTATAGCCTATGGGTGAAGTGTCAAAACTGTTTCGATGAAACAAAACAGAACAGCAGTTTCAAATCAAAACAAAATTTGAAACAAAATGCTGTTCTGTCAAAACGTCAAAACACAAGTCAAAATGAAACGGTGCCATTTCGCACAGCCCTACTAAGCAAGGCTAAATAAAGAAAAGATCAAAACCCCATGGATCCCACTTTCATGGTTCTGTGGGGGTGGGCAATTCTAAGGACTGTACAATGCAGATATCACAATCAAAAGGAAAGCAACACAGACTAGCAATTTTGGCAAAGAGTCTCAGATATTACTGATGAACTAAACAAATATTTGTATTTTGCTATGCTATGTTTTGACATAGCAACACAAAATGCAACTAAGCAATCTGTATCATTTGAATGTGGTCATTTGATGTGTCACAGCCCTAGCTCTGCTATCGTTTATGATGCGACTCTCCACATGCCATGCTATCCTTCAGGTCTTGGCAATTGCAACCAATAAATTCTCTTTTTTCTTTTCTTAACAGGATATATGAAAATGACACTTAAGTAAACCTATTTAAAATGCTTATGAGTGCAATAAGCCTATATTGCTCACAGATGGTTGCAGCATTACCTGTAGAAAGAAGTCACAAATGAGGACCCAGTTTAGTACCTGGATTTTAAGTATCCCCTCACACAGGTCTAGGATGCTCGTGTTCAAATCATTATGGAGACAAAGGATCGAACTCTCAGCCTGAGTGATGATAAAGAGATGTAAGGTGGCTGTTGTGGTCAACCCTTCGTAGAAGAGAATTCTCAGCTGGTGAAAAGACATTACAGTAAGTTTCTACCGCCAACTGTCCATAAGTGGCATGTTTAGAAGAACAAATTGGGGTGCCAAGGACTGAGGAGGAAAACCATACCCAGCTGACCCAAGGCTTATCCAGAGCTGAGAAAGGAGTTGTTTCAGAATCAAGGCTCTGAGATCACTTCTTCCCTTTTCCCTGTGCCATGATATGCTTTGTACACAACAGAATCTGTGAACTCGCTATGAAATTCAGATTCAAGTTCAGGTCATTTGGAATGGTGAAAGTTCTTAGGAGTCAGGGCTTTGGTTGAAATCTGCCTTCAATTTTAAAGATTTGTGAAGGGCTATCATATGCCTTATTATGTACAAAAATATACTGTATGAGTATAAAAAGGAGTTCAATTTGTTGGCTGAATTATAATTAGCCTGTGAATATAAAGAATCATCATTTTTCTCCCCAATCTTATAGGGGAAGCGGAATAAACAGTTGATTTACTTCATATACATTTAGCTATCTCACACACTGTTTCTGTTTGTACAAGTAACCCTTTCTGCTGATTTGCAAGTAAAACTTTGAAATGAGCTCTCTGTTCCCCCAAATTCACATTAACCATCAGTAATACTGAGGGTCCAGGGAAACTTTTATATTCTATTGCAGGTTTAACTCCTGCACATTCCAGAAGCTCATTTTCCTATCAAAAAATCCCACTCTGAGCAGGTGCATCTACATATTGCTGTACGATGATGTTGCTATGGCACCGTGCTTTAGTACTTCCTTTTGGAAGTACTAAAGCATGGCACAGTATGGGCAGTTACTGTGCTGTGTACACAGCGCGTGGGTAGATTTCACTGCTACATTGCCATAGTGGTGCACTATACCTGGGGAGCACAGTGCTACAGAGACGTAGCTGGCAATCACATGTAGATAAACTGCCTATTTCACACTTAGGTATTGAAGAAAGGTACTGGATGGTAGAGGCAGCAAAACAGCCTACCACAAGGGAATATGCTCCCAGTAATACTCTTCAAGATCTATGGAACAATCCAGCTAGACTCAGAAAATGTCATCTATGTCAGCAACCTAAGTATCGCTGCCTAGATCAAATCCACATTAACAGCAATTCTGTCTGGGCTTTCAGGGCCCCTCTAGATGTTCAGGGAAAGATGTGATAAGATCTGATGCAAGACCCACACAGTCACACCTTCTGCTATGTCACACATGCATGGCAGGAGGATTATGATCCTGGGCTCCCCTTGCACTGGCTCCCACTGCTGGGAGCCCTACAGCTGATGAGGCTTGCAGGGGGGCAGCATTCCATGCACCCCTGAAGCTGGAAGCCCCATCAGCTGATGGATTTCCCAGTCATATGGGAGCACCTGGCCCCCTGCTCAATTAATGGTGTGCTAAGAACAAGCCACGAAGTTATTCCACAAAAATGTGGAATAACTTTGTGGCTTATTCCTTGTTTTATCATGCCATTAATTGATTGAACATGTGGCTGGGTCACAATTTAAGACATGATTAACTGTTATCACAGCTTAAGTGTAATGTGTAGATGAGGCTATGATCTATTACATTAAAAACAAATATGTAGCAGCTCAGTGAAAAATAAAAATGAGTCTCTTCCATCTATGGAGCCATGAGGCCAACATAAAATTCAGCATTGTCTGGAATGAGGCATCACTACCCACCGGAGAATCCTGTGCTTCTTAGAACGATACTAGACTGCACGCTGCCCTTCAAGGCCCACTGATAAAGACAAAAGGCAAAGTCAGCTTCTAGAACAACATACTCAGGAAACTTGCAAAATCAAAGTAGAGAGAGGTAGTTGGCCATGTGCCAAGTCAGGCAAAAGGGTGGCACCTTGTGGCTAATGCAGAAACACTAAGAGCCACTGTACTTGTATTTGCTATTCAGTGGCTGAATATAAACATATCTAGTACGGGAAAGATCAGGTTATGAAAAGAAGTGAAGCTTGTACTGACTGGCAGGTGCCATTGCATTACAAAATGTCTAAAATCAACAAACATGAAAAACCTGTATTAAACTTCCTGCAGTTGCTCCGCTAGTCATAGTGAGAGTGATCACAAGCAAAATGGAACAGTCACAATAGGTCAGACATACCAAACATCCACCATATGGTCACATTGTGGCTGTTTGCTGGCTGAAATTGTAAAACGGCTTCTTAGCTGCAATAAGAACACTTACAAAATCACAGGTGGCTATGGAGCTGGACATGTGGCACCCAGGGTTCACCACACTCAACAAAGACAACAAAATCCACATGTTTCCAGATACCACCCTGTAAGCACAAAGAAGGATTGGGTGACCTGGAAATATTTTAAATACCTTACTTATGAAAAAGAGAGGCAAGGGATTTTTTGTGATATCTTTTATTGGGCCAACTGTATATTTCCTCCTGTGCATTTTTTGGACCATCACAATTGCAACACTCCAAACCTGCTTTGAAACAAAAGTGACCATGATGAAATAACCCATGGAGCATCTACTGCTCTGATGGGTTGTAAAAGAACTGTGCACATGGAAGACCATGGCAGGGTTATGGGTCAGGGCACATTATGTGCTTGATACTGGAAAATTCTATAACTGTGGTAGCAGGACATGAGAAGAGAACTAGCAAGGAAAATCACACAACCCTAACTCCTCAATATAACCCAAAAAGGCACTTTCTTACTCAGATGACCTATCCATGTGTGCAATCAGTCTCACTTCTGGTTATTTTGCAAAATACTGGAAGTTCATCTTGCTGTTATGTCAACTTAGCCCTGAGAAGCCAACACAGCTAAGGAAAAAGGGAGATAAACCTTACTCTTCTGTGTCATGTGTAAAAATGTTTATTAGGTCTCAAGCACTTGCACCAACTGGGGTGGCACAGGCAGCACCGAGGGTCTAACTTGGCCCTGGAGAGCATTTATGGTGAAGAAGATGGGAGGGGAAAATAGAACAAGCAATTTGCTCCCAGTCAGCATCTACATGTGTGCTTCGATGCATTAGTTTAATGCACCCTTTTTTAGTACCTGTATCTACTAGTACTAGAAAATGGTGCGTTAGACTAATCTACTGTGCAGTACAGGAAACCCTCACTATTCATGGGTTCGGCATTCGTGGTTTCAAATATTTGCGAATGACGAACCTGCATTTTAAATACACTTTATACACTTACAGGAGTTCCTTGGGAGCTTTGTGCTTGCTGCTGCCAGGCTCCCGCTATCTCCACCAGAGCTGTGCCCCCCACCCTACCACCCCCCCCCAGCCCCCAGGGGCACTGCGTTCATGAATGCAGTGCCTTATTCGCAGATTTTGCCATTGGCGTGGGATATGAGAGCGTATCCCCCGTGAATGGCAAGGGTTGCCTGTAATTGCAACACACCTGTAGATGTTGATGCTTTACTGTGCAGTAGATTAGTCTAATGCACAATATAGCATCTTGTATAGATGCACCCATTGAGAACTAAGCTTATTTTGATATTAAACCATCACCATTGCCTGTAGTGGACCCATACACCACCCATAATCCTTTTTTATGGAGAGATTTCATAGAAAAAAGCGGAATCTACACATTATGGCTGAGTCAGTTTACATAGAAGGATTTGAATTTATATACCTTACTGTTTTTTTCATTTGGCTGGAAATATTTTTTTTAAAATATATAGAAATATTTAGAATATTTTAAAATATTTATAAAAAAATCTTCAGAAAAGTAATTGTTAAAATGATAATAATGAAATTATTATGAAACAGACAATACACTTTATATCATAAATTTCTTAAATATAAATCCAGATCTGAATTCAGATTCAGAGAAGGATGCCTCATTTTTAAAAACAACTGTAAAAAATTTCTCAGATCAACTTGCTTAGTAATAAGAATTCCATTTTAAGATTAGGCAATGGGCAAAACTTAGAATGTAATTTAAAATGTGGCTGCTTTTACAGAGCTCATCTAAATTATGTGAACCAGCCACTCTGTTCTTACCCAAACCCGTGTTCCTTCAATCTCTGCCTCCACTCCGTCTGTAGTTTTGCTGACTCTCAGCATATGGGAAAAAAGCCAGCGGGCCTGCTTTTACCTCTTATGATAGGCCCTCTCCATTTGCCTACGCCTCTGGCAACAGCTCTCTTCTGTCAGGGGGCTGGCGTGGCAGCTTGCTTCTCTCACATATAATTTAGTATTTCAATCACATAAAAGAACAACTGAGATAAAAAAACAACACAGGGCACTGCTTATTTTTTAAGAAGATTGCCTCAAAATGTTTGACTCATGCACAAAATCATATGTTTGTATTACAGCATATGATCACTTGTAGGATTATGGCTTGGAAACCTTTTTTTTAAATCTGATCTGCTTGTTCTGAGTTCTTTACTGGACAGATGATGTCTGGGGTATTCCTTTAAAGACACAGGGTATTTCTTAAAATATAATAAGGCTAGTTACTCAGAACAGGGCAAGGTGCAGAGGAAAAGGGGGAAAATAAATATCTTGCCTCATACTCAGCTGTTAATGCCTAAAGTGGTCCACTATAAATAAGTAAATGAGATTCATTTCTCTTTCTGAGATTCTTTGATCTGAAGGGATTGTGGAAGGGATCCTTCATGTCAGAAAGTGCAGATTTAACGGTACATTCTTGGACTTCCTATGCCTACCTCCAAATGGAGTGCAGATTTCCGCTTTGGTAGGCAAAACCTGTGGAAGGGAACTTCTGAATGCTGAGTCCCATGCAGGTAACTGAGTCCCACTGCAGAACAGCAGGAGCACAGACAATGTATGGTCAAGCTATAAAGAATGAGACCAGCTGCCAGCAGACATGTGGGGCATGCTACTCTGTTCTCCTTCCCTCGAAGAGCAAATAAGGAAGACATACCCATAGCAAAAAATGTGCAAACTGCCAAGTTTTCAAATGGAAAAGGGGATAAATATTTGAGGGCAGATTTTGTCCACCTCCATTTGCCATCCCTGCTTTGTAGTAATTCTCAAATCTGGCTTTGAGGCATGATGGTGGTAAAAAATGTGTTCCTAGTTCTTTTTGAATTTAGAAATCTTTCATTACTATTTTCAATAGAATTATGTCAGGCTGTGATATGGGATATTTTAAATTATATGACACTGAACTATGAAAAGCAGCAGTGCATGGGAGAGAACTGTTAATAAAACTGCATTTCCTTTGGCCAAATCAGTGAGGAAATGAGACTTGTGTTTGTTTTACACGCTGCAATTCTTTTGGTGCCTGTGTGATGTCAAGTATGCGTGCAGGTTCTACTCAGATTGCCTTTTGACATTCTAGCCAAATGAAAAACCACTCAGTAGAGCTGCTGAAACAGCCCAGTGAATCCAATTTCATCTGCCTTTATAGCAGTGTACTCTAGGAAACACAGGCAAAGCTGAATCTGAAGTCAGAAAAAGAGCTGGCAAAAAAAATGCTACCGATTCCTTAGAAGGTTTGACTCTTAGCAGTTTCTAGAAGAAGACATGTTTTAATTCTCATTTTGAATAAACAGGAACTGAACTTTTCAGTGGAAAGACTTTCTACATCACCATGCAAGACTGAGCCGTGATTTTTAAAGCGATATGGAAATTTGCCTGAGAGCTCACGAAGGAAGGGATGGGAAAAAAGAAATTACTGAATGATGGCCTCAGATGCCATAAGCAGGTACTGTAGCTCCAGGGCTAATCTTCACTTAAAGGAAAACTTGTTGCAATATGAATCAGTCAAGCTGCTTCCACAACTGCTGTGTGACTCTTTCCTCCAAGGATATAAAGCATTTTCCCGTTTCTTTCGCTAAGCACTGCTCCAGGATCAAAATGAAAGGGTTTGGTTTCACACACATATTTTGTGCAAACCTATCTTTTCCTTAAATATACACATCTATTCAAACAAGGTTTTCTATGAGTGTTTGTGTACCTCTGGTTAAACCCTACATGGATTTGGAAAAATCATTTGAATGTACAGATTACAATGGTGCTTGGCAAAGAACCAGCGCTACTAGCATACATAGCAGGTGACAGAACATGGGACCTCCAAAGCATTGCAGCCCATCTGTCTACAGTGTATTTACATATGAAGAACGGTAATGTTTTATGCTGATCCAGGAAGCAGCCAAGTCTGTTGGTATCCTGTTAATATCACTACATGTGTGGATCCCGCTTCTAGGAGCCAGGTCTGAATCACTCCGCAAGCAAACCACCAGGCTGGTAACGGTATTGCAGAGGTGAAATGTCTACAACTTTGATGGGAACACAGAATATGTGAGCTTGCCTGATGTTTCCCAAAGCCTTCAAGTATCTTGATGAGTGTATTTCATTGCACAACAGGTATGGAACTGGCTACTGAGTTTCATCAAGATAACTCCAGACACACTGAAATCTTAGGCCAGAGGAATTCTTTGGGACTTTTCTGGGCCCTTTCAACCTGCTTGCAGTACTGAACATTTGGTATCCTTATCCCTGGAAGATAAACATTCCAGCAGCATTCCTGTCACCAAGGAATGACACAGATAAGAGGACTCCTGTCCTGTCACCAAGGAGTTACATGGATAAGAGGACTAAATAGTATTTCTTCTTTTGCCCATGCAGAAAGGACTTCTACTGTTATGTTGCATCTTATAGTTGGTCTTGTTACTATGTCCATGAATAGGACTCAGACATGTTCTCTCCTGTCAACAACAGCACAGCACAGCTTAACTCATTCTAACTCTGTCAGTACCAAATGAGATCACAGCTGGCTTGAATCTTGAGTTCTCACTATGTGCTTAGGAAATGCTCAGGGGGAAAAAAAAGAAAGAGTGGTGAAAAGAGGAATCCAGAGAAGCAGAACTATGTTTAGAATGCCTTATTTGGTGAACACGCTGAAACAGAGACTTCAAAGAGTTGCCTAAAAATCCAAAGTCGAGGCTAGACATGTGTAACGTCACTTTACACCAAAAAATGAAACTTCTATGTTCAAATAAAAAAGATCCAAAAACCAAAAAAGGAAACTAGTATTTTAAGTTATTATAAGAAACTGATCTGTGAGAAAAATTACATTTTAGCTTGTAAAACGTCAAGTGTTACAATTCTGTGTTAACTTTTCCTTTTTTTATTGTGTTTATAGTGTTTTCCACTTTCATCCATTTAGGCAGTGAAACTAATCAGTTTATGTAAGTATCTCTGTCTATTTCACTTTCAATTGCCCTGAACTAGCAGAGTGTTGATGAATGTGGATTGTAAATATGCAGAGAGAAGTTTGTTCAAAAAAATGTTTTCACCAAGCCTTGGAATCATGGACAAATTCAGGAGCAGTACAATGAGGGTGTGAGCTCACTGTTGTGAGGTGTACCTGGAGTCCCTGCTTTCAGACCTGGAGACTGCTGCTGTTTTCTCTTCCCTTTCCCTTCCCATACCCCCCTGCCAATTCAGCAGCTCTGGAAAGGATTAAATTAGTGTCATCAGCATACAGACCCTGGACTCTGTGTAGGTAGGGCTGGGCACCACTTCTGCCACTCTTCCCCTCCTTTTCCCTGCTGTTGAATTCAGGGGTCGGCGGGGAAAGAGGGAGGGAAAGACCAAATAGCAGCAGTCTCTGCAGCTGATTGAAAGTGCCAACCAGTCAGTAAGACTCACAGCACATGCAGACCTTCCCAGAAGGAGCTCCATGACATGCTGGTGGGCTCTAAGACCTCACTGCACATACAGTAAATAGCCAAAGGGAGGGTACAACTACACCATGGATTTGCCTCTACTTGGAATGCTTAACCCCAAAGCAACTGTGCATAAACGACCCTGCTTCCATATGTACAATATGATATAATCTCTTACTTACAATTAATTTGATAAATGTCCAAAGACCATAACTAAATTTTCTAGTATTCTCTCTTTCAACATAGCTGCCCCATCTCCCTTCTCAAAACCCTATATAAGTCTTCAATAGATCACCTCCTCTCACTTATCTGCCAATAGATTCTCCTTCCCTGCTCTTCCTCTTTCTAATTATTTCATGGACAGAAACTTCTTAACTGTAGAAACAAACCACAGACTATTGGAAGTCATATTAAAGAAATAGCAAGGAAAGCCCCACCTGGCTTTCAGCTGATGGGTTTTTTTCCACCATCCATATAATCTACCCACCCCACAGGGATACCTAAATCACATAGGGGTGAGAGGCCACTGATGTTCCTAGGATTCTCCCAACTCTCTTGTGCAGTCCAGGTGAGAGGAGTGGGTTCCTTTAGGTGTCACATGAACGAGAGAAGGAACTCCATTGAACAGTGTCTTCTTAGGATCATAGAGTGTGGTGGTGGATGGGTCATTTTTGACCTGGAGGGATGTGGGCAGTGGGGTTCCCCATGGCTCACTCTTTGGGCCCGCACTGTTCAACATCTTCATCAGCAACTTGGACAAGGGGGTGAAAAGCACCTTGTTCAAATTCGCGGATGACACTAAGGTGTGGGGAGAAGTGGGCATGCTAGAAGAGAGGGACAGGCTACAACTAGATCTGGACAGGGTACAGAGGTGGGCAGATGACAACAGGATGGGTTTCAATACTGACAAGTGCAAGGTATTGCACCTGGGGAGGAAGAACCAGCAGCATACCTACAGGCTGGGGAACTCCCTTCTAGTCAGCACAGAGGCAGAAAAGGATCTTGGAGTCACTATTGATTCCAAGATGAACATGGCCCGCCAATGTGGGGACGCAGGCAGGAAGGCTAATCACACCTTGTCATGCATCCACAGATGCATCATGAGCAGGTCCAAGGAGATGATCCTCCCCCTCTATGCAACATTGGTCAGGCCGCAGTTGGAGTCCTGCATCCAGTTCTGGGCACCGCACTTCAGGTGGGATGTGGACAGCATCAAGAGGGTCAAGAGGAGGACCTCTCGCATGATCAGGGGGCAGCAGGGTAGGCCTTACAAGGAGAGGCTATGGGACCTGAACCTTTTCATCCTCCACAAAAGAAGGCTGAGAGGGGATCTGGTCGCCATCTATAAACTTGCCAAGGGGGACCAGCAGGCAATGGGAGAGTCCCTGTTCCCTCGAGCACTACCAGAA